AGAGAGACCAGAGAGAGACCAGAGAGAGACCAGAGAGAGACCAGAGAGACCAGAGAGAGACCAGAGAGAGACCAGAGAGAGAGTAGAGAGAGACCAGAGAGAGAGTAGAGAGAGAGACCAGAGAGAGACCAGAGAGAGAGACCAGAGAGAGACCAGAGAGAGACCAGAGAGAGACCAGAGAGAGACCAGAGAGAGAGTAGAGAGAGACCAGAGAGAGACCAGAGAGAGACCAGAGAGAGACCAGAGAGAGACCAGAGAGAGACCAGAGAGAGAGTAGAGAGAGACCAGAGAGAGACCAGAGAGAGACCAGAGAGAGACCAGAGAGAGACCAGAGAGAGACCAGAGAGAGACCAGAGAGAGAGACTTCTTCAGCCTTTCTTTGAACATACACTGGGGTTTTGTTGAGACTGTGGAGAAGCCTGATCTCTGGTTTTCTGGTTTTCAGTGTGTGATGTTCAAATCCAGGTTAAAAACAGTGAAGGATTGTATCTTCTATATCACTCATTTCAGTTTGAATGTCTTTTGTGATCTTGTTTTGTTAAGTTCTTTGAGTTGCCTTGTGCATGAACTGTGTATAATTGATAATAACCATCTCAACCCGACCCAGGATGTTAGCTCATGGCGGGTTTTGGCACAGATTTTAATTCCAATATTACTTTCAGCGCAACAGTTTCTTCAAAGAGTAAACTCCACTCATTGCTTGTTCTCCTGTGTCTGCGTAGGTTTCCTCCGGGTGCTCCGGTTTCCCCTACCAATAATAACATGTACAATTGGTCTGTGCCTCCTGTACTGGCCCCTCCCATCTCTGTGTGGAGAGACTAATGCCCACAACTGTAAACCGCTTTGACTCTGGTCTGTGAAAGGCGATATATAAATAACAATTACTGACTTACTTTAAAAAGGCACAACAAAGAATGTCCATTAATCTTGAATTTGCAAATATTTGTTGTTGTTGCTTATGTTATGTAAATTACAATTAGGCTCAGTTCAAAGTTTACGTTAGCCCATGTTCCACTGTGCTGTTCTGAAAAAGACACACACAAATAATTTGAAAAAGGCCAAAAAGTTTAAGACTACTGGTTCATTTTGTGGATAATTTAGATTTCACCATATGGGCTGGACGCAGGAGGTGAGTCCCTGTGCTCCTCAGAGTCCCAGCAGGAGGCCAGTCCCTGTGCTCCTCAGAGTCCCAGCAGGAGGCCAGTCCCTGTGCTCCTCAGAGTCCCAGCAGGAGGCCGGTCCCTGTGCTCCTCAGAGTCCCAGCAGGAGGCCAGTCCCTGTGCTCCTCTGAGTCCCAGCAGGAGGCCAGTCCCTGTGCTCCTCTGAGTCCCAGCAGGAGGCCAGTCCCTGTGCTCCTCTGAGTCCCAGCAGGAGGCCAGTCCCTGTGCTCCTCAGAGTCCCAGCAGGAGGCCAGTCCTTGTGCTCCTCAGAGTCCCAGCAGGAGGCCAGTCCCTGTGCTCCTCAGAGTCCCAGCAGGAGGCCAGTCCCTGTGCTCCTCTGAGTCCCAGCAGGAGGCCAGTCCCTGTGCTCCTCAGAGTCCCAGCAGGAGGCCAGTCCCTGTGCTCCTCAGAGTCCCAGCAGAGGCCAGTCCTGTGCTCCTCAGAGCCAGCAGAGAGGCCAGTCCTGTGCTCCTCTGAGTCCCAGCAGGAGGCCGGTCCCTGTGCTCCTCAGAGTCCCATCAGGAGGGCAGTCCCTGTGCTCCTCTGAGTCCCAGCAGGAGGCCAGTCCCTGTGCTCCTCAGAGTCCCAGCAGGAGGCCGGTCCCTGTGCTCCTCAGAGTCCCAGCAGGAGGCCAGTCCCTGTGCTCCTCAGAGTCCCAGCAGGAGGCCAGTCCCTGTGCTCCTCAGAGTCCCAGCAGGAGGCCAGTCCCTGTGCTCCTCAGAGTCCCAGCAGGAGGCCAGTCCCTGTGCTCCTCAGAGTCAGAGTTGGTTGATATAGCCCGAACATTACTTTCTAATATGTACTTTAGTGCGAGGCCATGGAGAGACTGTGAAGTGTCCTCTCTGAGTGACAGGAAGCCAGTGCAAAGACCTGAAAGACTAAATATATTCATCTTTTTAGGCCAAAGAAGCTCCATAGTCTCTGCGTCTCAGCTTTATGCCCAATCAAATCTCTGAGGCTGGTTCCTGACCCTGCAGACACAACACGCAGCGAGCCTCCTGCAGTTGAAAGTCTTTGCCTGTGTGTGTGCGCTAATCCATAAAGACGCTTTATTGACACGTTGTCTTTGACTAAACGGATACGGCGCTTTTGTGAAAACCAACTCTGGCGTCCCACTCCGCCTTGGTGGCCTCGCACAGAAAGAAGCGATTGATTCGTTCGCAGCTCAACAGCCCCAGTGTCGTTTTCCAGTTAAGCGGATCCGTCCTTGTAGCCTGGGTTTAGCGTTACCTGGCTCCCCCTCCCCTCCCACCGCCTCCGCCTGCTCCCAACGAGACCTGGGCCTCGCTGGGACCTCCAACGGCTCTGACGGTGCCGACCCAAGAGCACTTAACCTGTAGCTCTCTGGAACTGCCTCCCGATTTGTCCGTCACCCAATCCGTCAGCAATGAATAATTTTCATGGAAGCTGCACTTTAATTACTTTCCCATTTAAATGGCATTATCGTGGGCTATCGAGGTAATTAATCTCACCAAGTATCCTGTTTCAGCCTTTTATTGCTGGCAGATGAGCTCCTAAATCCTCTCGAATGGCTGCGTTGAACGGACACCCCCTCTTCTCGGAGAACAGGAGCTGGCGGATTCTCCTTCGCCAGGTCCCGAAGGCAGCGTGTGGAGCCACAGTCTGAAGAAGCCAGAGCAGAGACTCAAGCTCAAAAAAGATATCCAAATGTAATTGTTTCATTAATATTAAAATTCAAATATATTAAAAAAAGTATATATATTTTGACCAATGAATGCTTGTAATATCTGCCTGTGTATATAAAAAAGTTATAGCGACTATCGTTTTGTCCACCAGGGGGCAGTGAAGCTGCTGAGTGGCTGAGTGGATAGCACTCTCGCCTCTCAGCAAGAAGGTTCTGGGTTCAAATCCCGGTTGGACCAGGGCCTTTCTGAGTGGAGTTTGCATGTTCTCCCCGTGTCTGCGTAGGTTTCCTCCGGGTGCTCCGGTTTCCCCTACCACTAAAAATATGTACAATAGGTCTGGCATGTGCCTCCTGTACTGGCCCCACTCCCAAAAAATAACAATTGTAAACCGCTTTGAGACTCCGATGTGCAGTGAAAAGGCGGTATATAAATAAAGATTACTAATCAATGCTGTTTTTGTTCGCTCCCTTGCTCCTCAAAATGGCCTCCGCCCCAAAACTCTGGACCCTTTCCCGTTCGACCTGCGACAGCGAAACTCTCTGGACATTTTAAAATTACATAAAAACCTATCTTTCTAAACTGGCTTCTTCTTTGTAATTTTAAAAAGTTTTAGATCAGATTCAGATTAATTTATTTACCCTTTGCAGTAAAACCACATTGGAATACATTAGCAAAAGTCACCATTGTGCACACGACAAGTACAGACATAAAACAAATAAAACGGTAAACAATTGCCACTGTACTTTTCAATATTTTGAGTGACGTTTTTAATCTATTGTCAAGCGTCCTTTTGGTGTCGTGAAAGTCGCACTGAAATAAAATGAATTATTATTATTATCAATAGAGGAAATTGTGTCCACCCCGGTCACAAGCGTGGAATACCTGGCGCCCGCAGTGGTACGTCCACACGCCTCCTGTGCGTACGGTAAATACATATTCTGACCAGTTCTAAAGTTGGCTCATTTATCTCATTTATAAGCTCAAAGTCTGTGATTGAAGCGAAAAATCCACATTTGCAGCTAATACACACACATTTATTTATTTAATTATCATTCCAATTTTAAGGTCTGTCTAATAATCGTCCCTGTGCTCCTCTGGTTGTGCGTCCCTGTGTGCATTTCAGCTCCTCTCCCCTTGTTGTTGGTCCATTGTGTGTTCGTCCCAGCCCTACAACCCTGGATTGTGTTATTTTTGTGTTTTTCTTTGTTATTATTATTCATCTTTTTGCGACCAACAGTTTTTTTTTCAGATCTTTTTCTGAAACGGAAGCAAAAACGCAATTCTGAAGCCGTTATCGCAGCAAAGTATTATTATCAAATGTCATTATTTGATTATGTTCAAATATGAATGGTAGTTTTCCCAGTCCGAGCAGATGCAGGGGTGTGTTTGAGGCCTTGGTAAATAGAAACGGCTCTGAGCAGGTCTTCAAACCGAGCGTCAGGGATAAGCATCAATACACAGCAGTTATTTGGAGTCCTCTTATCAATCTGCCGTCTTCTGATCCCAATCTCCGAACAAAAGCGTGCCGCGGTGCTCTCGTGCCGGCGATGGCTACGCTCGACATATTTGCAGCAGGTTTGTGATAAAAATGTTTTGTTTTGCTGGAGGGAGAGTTAACAAGGAGAGCTTATCTGTGGCTCATCTGTCGCCGCCCTGACCCTAGCCCGGCGTTGCACAGGAGCAGAATGACAAAGGGTTACAGGGCGGCGTCACAGGGGTTTCAGTTCCAGAGGTGAATTTGGCTAAAAGTAAATGTAAAGGCAGCTGAACAATAGGAAAGAATATATTTATGTGTGTGTGATGGTATGACAGAGTACTTCTAGAATAATCAATGACTCTTCTGGCCCTTGGAAAAGCCTTGTTCCAGCTTCTTCCCTGTGGCAGAAGATATTGTAGCTATCTATCTACAGCTTGTCTCTCTCAAAATGGGCCTCTGAGGGGTTTCTCACTTGTTTCACGGTCTGATTGTTTGATTCTCTGATCTGTGCTGATGAATTGACAACTTTCTTAAGATGTTTTTATGATGTAGGGCAGTACAAAAAACCTTGAATGTAATTGAATGTTGTATTGAAGTAACGTCGACGGGTCTGTAAAGTCCTCAGAGATAACTACTGTTTCAGAAAAAGCTCTGGGAAAACACTGCACTGTTTAAGAAGGACTCAAAATGCAAGACGCCAAAAAGATACAGATGTGATAAATAAAATCTTAAATACACACAGAGACACACAACCAGAGGAGCACAGGGCTTAAATACACACAGGGACACACAGGTGAAACTCATTGGGGCGATCAACAACACAGACAGATAATATTAACCTGATAATAACCAATAAATCAAAACAAAACCAGGTAAAAATCATGAAAAACCAGGTAAAAATCCGTGACACTTTTCCTTCTGACTCGTTATGAACCATTCGCTCTCGCCGTCATTTGAGATCCGTCTGTTCTTCTGCTGCGTCCGAACCTGCGCAGCGGAAGCAGCTGTTATCATTTGTCCTTTTCCCTGGCCCAGCTCCTGTCGCATTCACCGCATTCACACCTGTGCATTGTGCGTCGCTGCCACACGAGAAGTTTGATGCATTGTGGCTGTGGCATGCATAGGATTTGGAGGAGGAAGAAAAGAAAAAAGTTGAGAAAGTATTTTGCTTTGTGGGGATTGCGAGGGCTCCTGTTGTAGCTGAGCTTTAATTATTCACAGCTCTGCAGAAAGAGATTGAGGCCAGATTCTTTTGGCAGTCAGTCAGGCGCTGTTTACCTCCGCCACGGACCATTCACAAATCGCATCATGCTCTGCGCACGTCAGCAGCGCTCGTTTATCAGCACCTGCGTTTGACAACTCATTTTCACACAATTTGGCCCCCTATAAAAAAAAAAAAAAACAGTCTCCTCAAGCACGGCTGCTGCTCTTATCAATGTGTTTTCGGGGGATATTAATATGCAGAGTGTGAGGGGGGCTGTGTCCACACATACAGAGACAGGCAGGAGTCAGAGGGATGCCAGGGACAATGTGGGGCAGGGTGTGGTGGTGGAAGAGACATCAGACGTGCCGAGCTCCACATGGGAGCGGGAGAGGTGGAATATAGGCCACGGAGCCATGGAATATATATGTGTATAAGTATCTGTATATGTATATGTATATGTATAAGTATAAGTATAAGTGTGTTAATGAATGCTGCTTTTTATGAGAGAAATTGTCATCGGGATTTTTTTGTTATTTTGTATCAATTTTGATTTCTGTGTCTCTGTGTGTCTATATGTACCTGTGTCTGTATGTACCTGTGTCTGTATGTACCTGTGTGTCTATATGTACCTGTGTCTGTATGTACCTGTGTCTGTATGTACCTGTGTCTGTATGTACCTGTGTCTGTATGTACCTGTGTCTGTATGTACCTGTGTGTCTATATGTACCTGTGTCTGTATGTACCTGTGTCTGTATGTACCTGTGTCTGTATGTACCTGTGTCTGTATGTACCTGTGTCTGTATGTACCTGTGTCTGTATGTACCTGTGTGTCTATATGTACCTGTGTCTGTATGTACCTGTGTGTCTATATGTACCTGTGTCTGTATGTACCTGTGTTTCTGTGTCTACATGTACCTGTGCTCTACCCCATTTGTTGCTGGCCCTTTGTCCCGGTTTCCATGAGTTTCGTTTGGATTTTGGTTCGTTTTCTTTCTTTCGTTCATTAAATCATAGTTTTCTGAATTCCTGCTTTTTCCTTACTCAAGAGTGGCCCATATGTCGACAGGTGTATACAGGTGTACATACAGGTGTATACAGGTGTACATACAGGTGTATACAGGTGTACATACAGGTACAGGTGTGTGTCTGTGTGTGTGTGTGTCTGTGTGTGTTTGTACAGTAGCGTCACTCTGCATAGTTTACGGCTCACTCCTGCAAAAGAACCAAAGGAGACACAAAAGTCTGGGTTTAGCAGCACACACTGTCCTCGCGCATGCCCCAGATTACTCCTAATCTGTCTTTAAAAGCTGCTGCTGCCTTTTTGTGTGGAGCCAGGCCCATTTTTAACCAATTAGAGAGAGAGAGAGAGAGAGAGAGAGAGAGAGAGAGAGAGAGAGAGAGAGAGAGAGAGAGAGAGAGAGAGAGAGAGAGAGGAGAGAGAGAGAGAGAGAGAGATTGGTGTTATCCTCTTGACCTGTGGAGAGAGAGAGTGGAGCAGGTTTTCAGCTCCTGTTGCTGCGGTCCTTCCCTGAGAGAGAATCATTAACTTCACTTTATGGACTTCACTTTATGGGTGACTGTTTACACCGGTGTTATCGCCGTCTCGACTTAAAACATGGATGAACAAAAGGTGAATGATTAAGTTTGTCTGGATAGATGTGTTTCTGCTGCTGGACAAATGCATTTCTCCTACGGGTGATCAATCTGTCAGACAGATAGATAGATAGATATACTACCTATCTATCTGTCTATGTATCTGTCTATCTGTCTGTGTCTATGTATCCATCAATCTACCTGTTGGCCTATGCATCTATCTATCTATCTATCTATCTATCTATCTATCTATCTGTCTACCTGTCTGTCTATCTATCTATCTACAGTATCTGTCTACCTGTCTGTCTATCTATCTATCTACAGTATCTGTCTACCTGTCTGTCTATCTATCTATCTATCTGCCTGTCTGTCAGACAGATAGATAGATAGATATACAATCTGTCTATTTGTCTGTCTATT